ATGAACAGAGCCTTAGAGACCTGTGGGACACTGTCAAGAATCCCAATATATACATAATGGGAGTCCAGTAGGAGAAGAGAACAAGGCAGAAAAAAATACTTGAAGAAAAACTAAAACTAAAAACTTACCAAATTTGATAAAAGTATTAATTTACACATTTAAGAAACTCAAAGAACTCCAAGTAGGATAAACTCTTAAGATATCCACAACGAGGCACATCATAAACTGTTGAAAGAATGACAGAATCTTGAAGGCAACGTGAGAAGTGATTCATCCTGTACGAGGAATCCTCAGTAAGACTAAGAGCCAGCTTCTCATCAGAACCCAGTGTGACAACATGCTCAAAGCCCTGAAAGAAAAAGATTACCAACCAAGAATGCTACACCCAGCCAAGCTCTTCTTCAGAAATGAAGGGCAACCTAAAAACGCTGGTTTCACAGAAGCAGAAAGTAGAATAGTGGTTACTAGATGCTGGGAACGGGAGAGGAAGGAGGGAACTGGGGGAGGCTGGCAGCGGGCACACCTGGCCTGTTACGGTTAGACAGAAAGAGCAAGGTCTGGTGTCTACTACATAGCGGGCGACCACAGCAAATAACAATGTAGTGTATGTTTCAAAATAGCTAGAAGTGAAGATTTTTAATGTTGTCACACAAAGAGATGATGAATGTTTAAAGTGATGGACATGGTAATTACCCCAATTTGATCATTATATGATGTATGCATGCAATGAAATATCACACTGCACCCCATAAATATATACAATTATTACGTATCAATTATAAATAAAAAATTAAATTAAAAAAATTAGAAAATCTGCCATTAGTAGACTTCCCTATAAGAAATAGTAAAGAAGGTCATTCAAGATGAAATAAAAGGACATTGGACAGGAATTTAATTCACATGAAGAAAGAAATAAAAGAGTACCAGTAAAGGTAACTACATAGGTACTATGAAAGACAGTATAAACATTTTTTTGGTAATTCTTTTCTTCACTAATTTTTTTAAAAGAACACTGCATTAAACCCTAATTATAAAACTGTGCTGATGGGCTTCTAACACACAAAGACATAATGTATATGACATTAATAGTTCAAAAGAGAGGGAAGGGAAAAAAGATATATTGCAGGAACATTTTTGTATACTACTAAAATTAAATTAGTGTTAATCCAAATTGGAATTTTAAAAACTTAATTAAATTTAATATTAATATGTAACCACAAAGAAAATAACATATACACACACACACAAACAACAGGAAATCTTTAACAGTATATTAAGAACCACTTAATGCAAAAAAGGCAGAAATAGAGAAATAAAAAAGACATATAGAAAACAAGTAGCAAAATGGTAGAGATAAAACCTACCATATTGGTAAGAAAATTAAATGTAAATGGGTAAAAAAGGCAAATTAAAGCACGAAGATTGGCAGAATGGATTTAAAAAAAAACATGACCGAAACATATGTTGCCTATAAATGATACGCTTCAGATTCAAAAACAGAAATAGGTTGAAAAGATATATCATGAAAATAACAACCAAGAGAAGCTGGAGTGACCATGCAAGCACTGGACAAAATGAGCTGCAGTCATGTGCTGCGTAACGGCAGACCACAGATACAGTGCTGGTCCTTTCATAACGGAGCTGAAAAATTCCTGTTGCCTAGCGACACAGGAGCTGGCCTAACACTCGCACCACGCATTACTCACACGTTTGCGGTGACGCTGGTGTAACAAAACCTACCGTGCTGCCAGTTGCATAAAAGTATAGCACATACGATTATGTACAGTACATAATACCCGGTAATAAATGACTACATTACTGTTTATGTGTTTACTACACTTTTAAGTCATTATTTCAGAGTGTACTCCTTCTCCCTATAACGAAAGTTAACTGTAAAACAGCCTCAGCTGAGCTGAAACACCAGCGCGAGCGGGGAGGGCAGATTGCACGCCTGTTTCCAGCCTCAGGCAGAGTGGACTGTCCTGCAGGTAAAGCACTTCTTTTCCTGACCAGATTGTCACACTTACTTCCTGCCCTGTCCACGGTGGCCTGGAAAGTAGAGGCCTCGAGCTGGAGCAGCGAAGTATGGGCTGAGGCCATGGCCGGGATTTGTCTCCTGCTGCCACCCTGCCCCTCGGCCATGCCTCTCGGGGAGGCTCCAAGCCTCGTGGATCTCTTCTCAAAAACCCTGGTCTCTTTCGGGGAAAGGACGTCTCCCCAGCCCCTCTCCTCCCATGTGGCTGGTCACTGGGTCTGAGCCTTCCTCGGTGACCTTTCATGGTTTACTATCCAATGGGACTCCACCCTGGGCCCTGACGAGACAAACCCCTGCCATCCCAGAATGACTGAGCCGCAGGAGGTGCGCTGGCATCCAGGTGTCGGTGCCGGCCTCCATCTGCCCCTGCCGGTGGGACTGTGGAGAGCAAACGGTGGACCCCCGGGGGCTGTCCGGACTCCAGGAGCTAAATGGCGAGGAGAGGAAAGTGGGCGGCCAGTCACCTGTCAGTCTTCACTGCTCTGGGGAGCCGACAGTCACTCAAACATGATACGAACCTTTCTCTCCAAGTCAGTGGCTTGCATCCCTAGCCCCGAGAGCACGGGAATGTCGGTGAACGTTGCTCTGTGGGAGTTACTTTGTTTAGAAATACACGAGAGAATATTCTTACACACTTACACTACGGGCGAACCAGGGAAGGGCCTTAAAAGAAAATGAAAGGGGAGGAGCCAAGATGGCGGATGAGACAAGCTGCCAGTCAGAAGGTCTCCACAAAAAAGACCAATTTTAGAAGAAAGAGAAAAAAATAAGCGAGCAAAGAAACACAGATTGGGTGAGGGTCAGAAGGAAGGATGCCTGAAACTACAGGGGACTCCACGGGAAGACGCTGCGGAGGAGAACTGGAAGGAGAGAGGTCCCCAGAGGCTTGGAGACCAGCGACAAGGGTAGGCGGAGCGGTTAACTTCCCCTCCCTCGCATCTCGGACTGCTGGTGGCTCCTGAGCCGCTGGAGAGACCTGCGGACACCAGCCCAGAACGGCAGCCGCCAGTGAGCAGTGGCCTCTTGCGGACTCAGCGCCGGGCTCCCAGCCCCCTTGGGGCACCTCCCCGGGCGCACACCCAAGCCTATTGGCAGACGCCATAGTCCTCCGTTCTCTCCTGTCCCCTCCCTACCCGTGGGTGCCCAGAGACGATTTAGCCACCACACGGAGGCATCTCCAAGAAACGGGAACTTTCCTTTTGGGGCCCTACAGCAGACTGAGGGGTACTCAGACTGCGAGTTCCCTACCCGCCAGCCCTCCCAGGTGCTACTTGCCTGGGGACTCCAGGAGAGCGCGGCAAATCCCAAGGTGGACTGAAATCAATCCAGCTTGGGCATCCTGTAGGTGATTCAAGACCAGCACCCCTCCCCCTGGCAGGGTCAGGGATTGATCTCCAGGGTCCAGGGGTCAGGCCTGCAGACCAGACCCGATACACCCAGGTCACAATCGCACTGCCCTGGGGCACGGAGAAGAGATCTGTGAAAAAGCCTACTGAGGAGTGTGTGCTTTCAGGGGCAGATCAGCCTGCCTGACCGGCAACCCTCCTCCTAAAAGAGGGCTGTGCACCCAGCTCAGGCTGCGATCCTGGGTAGGGAACCTCTCGCCCACGGCCCACATCACAGCCAGGGGAGATCCATAGGCCTGAGGTCCTGCTTGCTGGCAGAGGCCTGGGAGAGGCCACGGAGAGGGGGAGAGTGGAGGGGAGCGAGACCTGCTCCAGAGTGCCGGTCATGGACAGCCCCAGCCACCAAGCCCAGACTTTCAGCTGAGTGGAGCCATTTCAGCCCCTCCCAGCAGCTTTGCACAGAAACAAAGAGTAGACCTTTGAGCCTGCTAACAGCATTTGTGGAGCCTGAGGGCAGGCTTACCCAACCCAGCCCCACCCAGACTCACTCCCCACACTGAGGGGGAGAATAAGGACACATGTGGAAATCCCAGGGCCCCACCAACTACCCAAGGCACAAGAGGGCCTCTCTAGAGGAATAAGAGCTAGCTACAGGACCCAAACACAACCCAAAAACCGCAGCTCCCTCCTCCCTGCAAGTGCCACCTACTGACAGGGAGGTCATCCTGCACACCCTTTTACTGCATCTACTGATTCATCATAAAGGGTGTGGTCAAATCTCACCCACAAACACCACCTACTGGCTCAGAGACTAAACAGGGCGTGTTATTATCCAAACGAAAATTTAAAGGCACGAAAGAACAACTGATCCAGATGGGAAGGAACCAGCAAAAGAACTCTGGAAGTATGAAGACTCAAACGGAAAGCACACCCCCAAAGAGGAACAACAGCTCTCCCAGCAATGGACATTAACCAAACTCAGAACACTAAAATGACAGAAGAAGAATTTCAAACATGGATTGCAAGAAAACTGAATGATATCCAAGAAAAAATGGATAACCAACACAAAGAAACCACAAAAAAAATCCAGGACTTGGAAGAAAAATTCACTAAAGAAATTGAAATATTAAAGAAAAATCAAACCGATCTCCTGGAAATAAAGGACTTATACAGGAACTACAAAACACCGTGGAAAGCCTCAAGAACAGGGTAGATCCAACAGAAGAAAGAATCTCAGAGATAGAAGACAACTCCTTCCAATTAAATAAGTCAGTCACAGAAATCAAGCAGAAAATTCAGAAAAAAGAAATAAGCCTACAAGAAATATGGGATTATGTGAAAAAACCGAACCTGAGGATGATAGGAGTTCCGGAAGGTGAAGAAGAAAACACTCAAGGGCTGGATAAGCTATTTAAAGAATTAACAGAGGAGAATTTTCCAGGCCTTGCTAAAAATCTAGATATACAGGTACAAGAAGCTCAACGGACCCCAGGGAGATTCAATGCAAATAGGAAGACACCACGCCACACATCATCAGATTGACCAAAATAGCGACTAAAGAGGACCTTCTACGAGCTGTAAGGCTAAAGAAACAAGTAATATACAAAGGAAAGCCCATCAGAATAACTCCAGATTTCTCAACTGAAACCCTACAAGCAATAATGCCCAGCCTAGATCTTGTACCCTACAAAACTAAGTTTCATATATGAAAGAGAAATAAAGACATTCTCAGATAAGCAAAGACTGAGGGAATTCACCAAGACAAGACCAGCTCTCCAAAAAGTACTCAAAACAGAATTACACAAGGATCAGCACAATAAACACTCTCGAATGTGAAACCACTCAAAAGTTAAAGATCAAAGGCTAGATTCCACAATGGCTCAAGACAGAAAACAAAGCCAACAAAATGGAATCCAACAGAATGAACAGTAATTCACCCCACTTATCGGTTCTCTCAATAAATGTGAATGGTTTGAACTCCCCTCTCAAGAGATACAGACTGGCTCAATGGATAAAAAAGACAAGCCAAGCATCTGCTGTCTCCAAGAAACCCATCTAACCTGCAAGGATGCATTTAGACTCAAAGTAAAGGGGTGGAAAACAATATTTCAAGTAAATGGAAGCCAAAAGAAGGCTGGTGTGGCAGT